TCAGCAACAATGATTCCAGTAGTTGACCAAGTCAATGTCATAGGCTTGTTTCAAACTTGTTTGTAAACAGGTGTAAATACATTATCCAATATTAACTGCTAACAGAGTTCATCAAAGTAGAGTTCAGAGTTAAGGATCAAAATAGAAGGTCCTTGTTGGTTGTCATAACCATTACTACCCAATTTTATATTGTCATAACCATTACTATTCAACCTGTTAAAAGTTATAGAAATATAGGATACAGGGATTCTAGGAGTACAGGAGCATTTCTCAAAGACGACAGTACTGCCTTTAATTTTGAACACTGCTTATTAGCCAACTGACTCACTGGCCCAAAACTAGCAAGAACCCTAAGAACTAATCACTGTCGTCATGACACAGTTAGCTTTCAGCTCGAGGTCGATGAATAATATATCTGTTAGACCTACCTACTAAACATGAATATCATTAATCAAATTAACATGACTATCAAATATTTGTACCATTTTACAATAAACACGGTGTGCCAAGATATCTGGAAGCCCATAAATACAAACATATGAATACTCCAACATTAGCCAAAGCATCCTTGAAATCCTGGCAATGGACTACGACTTTATCATATTTAGCTGCACGAAATACTTCAAAGACAAGGACTGTACCCCTGCTCTCAACATGCTAAATCAAATCATATATAGGCCCATCTAGGAAGACAGGTTGATATTCTTGAATTAAGACCGTTCATGATCATGTAGCCCGGGAAATTGGTAATCTCAGGAAGATGTGAATAGATCGCGGGCGTACATGACAAGTCAATCAATTCTTCTACAGCTACGTTCCCATTGGCCTGAAAATCCCTCTGTGAACTTGCTGATCCAACAAGCGAGCAGGCCAGATCATGCCAGTACAATGGTATTAGGCAACAACCATTAGACAAGCATGTGACCTATTTTGCAAAGCAGAAAACAAATTTCCGTTCATCTATTTATCATCTGTGTTAAATGGTTTTAGTATCAATTTCTGATGAACACCAGAATAATTACAACACAATTCCTGCACATTGATCCAATGATTCATCTGCCCAGCAACCCGTTACAGTATCCCGACGAACTGCATTCAGTGTTGTGTTAATCCTGCAGCCATTGTATTTAACAGGTCTTCCTCAAGGCATTGCCACACTTTCTTTGTCATCCTCAGAGAGATATGTGCTCTAGAAGCAATGGAGGCCTACATTTTCATATTTATCAGATGACATAGAGGATACTCTCTCAGTTTCCCCGTTGTCCTCATCACACAACTTAAATGTATGTAATTATATCAAATTAGCAACACCATTAAGGAAATATGAGCTCTTAAACATATCAGGCAGGAAAATAGCAATGGATCGATGAAATGGACGAGAAGGGTGTTTTCCCATTACAGAAGCATAATACTCCCCATGAATTTCATTCAGGGTCAATATTTGACATGGTCTTATAGCAACAAAATTCAACAGGTATTTTTTCTGTGACAACCTCACCAGCTGATTACCTCGACAACATGCTACTATCTTCCCCATCAATTTGTTCAGGAATGATTACACTTTTATTGGTTGTAAGAGTGTCATCTGGTCAAGATGTGTTTTCGATTTGACAAAAACACCGCATTCAATAGCTGCTTGAATTATTTTGCATGTCAAGTTTTAGCTGAACAACTGCAACATGCTCAGTGATGTTTATTTCATATATTATTCCATTATGACGAGTTAGAAGAGTTACCATGGTTACCATACAAAAAAGGATTTGAGACAAAATGAAAACAATTGACATTATTTACATAATTCAATATATTGACAATGAAAGTTCTGTGACAGCACATCTTCAGGTGTAAGTACATTACAATATAAGGCATAAGGACCATGTAAAAATTGTTAATATAAAAGTTAAAGGCGTCGGCAGATTCAAATGCCACAGGTGAAGACTTCAAGTAGCCCAGACCCCCTTAATTAAGAACACTGCTGAATATCTGCCTGAAACTGACGGCTGTACTTGTCTTCAACTGGACACCGGTACAGTGTGATATACAAATTTGCTTGCCCGACAGAAAAAAACACTGGACTCGGGCGTCGGGCAATGGGTTATTTCCACCCTTGGTCAGGTATCTGCACTATTTGATTCCTTGCTAAATATTTCCCTCTCATACAAACATTCAGTTTTTCAAATTCACCAAAAGGCAATCTCACATTACCCTCCTACTGGGTAATGACATTGAATTTCCTCAACATGCAAAAACCAAAACAAGCATGACACAAAAGCACTAAGCGTCAACAGCATTCGGGAAAACTGCTATAAACGAATCAAGTGGCACCATGTCCTTGCCGCTTCATGATGGCCCTCAGCTGATTGAGTTCCACCCAGTAACTCTGTGATTGAGAGAGGGCTTGAGGGAGCAGGGTCTTTAGATGGACCTCTGGGGAAAAACAGGCTGTACCATACACTATGGAGGCTGTGATGGAGGAGGTGGGGATGAAAAGAGTAGTGGAAATACAGTCTACACACGATGCCCCGGGCTTCACAGGTCGTGACAATGAGCACAGACCTCCATATAAAGAAACAATCAATATGACTGGCAAAAACATTCATTCTATTTCAGAGGACACAGAGGCCTTGAACTCCAATTGTTGGCCTCACATAAACATTACCAAGATATACATTTGCAATAATGTGTTGGATATTAGGTGGGAATTTGGGATCACAGCAAGTCTGGGATAGAACTTGGACTGAGGAAACACCTAAATCTCTGAAATTTCAAAATTAGTGCTATGACAACAAGAGACCCATGACATACATTGCGAATTATAAACACGACCCACTGCAGCAATTTATCTAGTGTTCCAACCTGAGTGCCCTTGGCCAGCAAATGAGTACCAAACCATGACACTGTTCAAAATCGGATCATATTAATGTTTACATTTTTTTAAATTCTGAGGTATTGGATAAATCTTAATTGGAATTGGGCTTTTTTACCATAATTCATTGCAGAGTTGATGCGAAATATCAGACTCTGAGTTGGTCTAGATACATCACTGTCAGAAATGTGTATGAGCATGTTTCAAGGTGGGACGTTTCAAAAAGCGGGCATTTACAGCAATTTTTTGTCTCAACGACTTACAAAAGTCTGAATACTAGAATCCACAAAATAATCTACTGGTCATGCTGGATATCTACTAGACAGAGGTCTCGACAAAAAAATAGGTTAAAAAGGGTATCATTTCATTGCGCAATTAGAATGAAAAACCATCAAGGAAAAAACAAGAAGACAAAGTCATCAATATTCCCCGCAATGGCAAAATACTCTTCATGAATATGTCTTCAAGTTATGAGTATGTGAAATGTTTTGGTGTGCATATAGCTAAGTGGAAGGAGAGTACTGAAAGGTTTCAAAGTTCTGCTCCAGAAAGGAGCACTACCACCAAATTCAGTTGAAGCCAAAATTGTTGCCATGGAAACGTCAAAAAAACAACCCCATTTTATTCAGAAATCCAAAACTAGCAAAATGCACCAGTTCATCACTAGACCTACCTATGTATGAAATTTTGTGATGAAACAGTGAACAGTTTTTAAGTTCTGCTCCGGAAAAGAGCACTACCACCAATTTCAGTCAAAGTGAAACCTGTTGCCATGGAAACGCTGTATTCAGAAATCAAAAACTACCAAAAGGCACCAGTACCCCATCGGGCCTATCTATTTACCACGTTTGGTGAAGAAATAGTGAACGGTTTTGAAGTTCTGCTCCAGAAAAGAGCACTACCACCAATTTCAGTCGAAGTCAAACTTGTTGCCATGGAAACGCAAAAAATATTTTATTCAGAAATCCAAAAATACCAAAAGGCACCAGTTCACCACCAGATCTATCTATGTGTTAAGCTTGGTGAAGAAACATTGAACGGTTTTAGAGTTCTACTCCAGAAAAGAGTACTACCACCAATTTCAGTCTAAAGTCAAACTTGTTGCCATGGAAACACAAAAAATATTTTATTCAGAAATCCAAAACTACCAAAAGGTACCAGTAGACCACCAGATCTATCTATGTGCCAAGTTTGGTGAAGAAATATTGAACGGTTTTAGAGTTCAGCTCCGGAAAAGATGTGCACAGACCCACGGATTGACGGAGTCCATTTTAATACCCCCCGCAAAACGCGTTGTGGGGGATAATTACTGAACAATGCAGGCTTGTTTAGGTTGCTCGCTTATTCCGAGTTGATCTATTGCTGACTGCAGAAGTTGTACAAACCTAAATTACTAGTACTATGTTCATCCCCAAAACTTCGGACCACCGGATCAGCATTTATTTGATGTTACTGGTCCTTAAGGCAATAAGCTAGACTAGTAGACAAGTGTTAGTGCTCCATTATTCGAGTTGTACGATAATGGCCTGTAAATAGCCGCCATGTCTAACCAAACAAACCAGTGACAGAAGCCATGTCATTCGAGGACACGCCATCAACAAGTTACTGAATCCGGCCACCTGATTCAATGAGTCACCTCTTACAACCAATGGGGACCAATGGTGATCTGAAATCCCACGAGGAGAACCTCACATCTCATCCCGCTGATCCCTGGATCTTATCCAGATGGATATGCAGCCACCTCAAAAGATTGAACAGTGATGCTTTCTAAATTAGGGCTCTGGGGAAGTCACAAAACAAACTTCTCATTTTGATAAATTCCTTCTTGCGCATCAGGTTTATTCTAACTAACATGGACATCTATCTCTCAAGTCTCTAGAGAACCCTTAACCTTTAGTTCCTAAAACACCACAAGCTAGTAACATTGTTTTTTTCCAGGAAAAATTAATTATACTTCCAAAACAGACATGATTTTGATGACAGAGGGTGAATTTTTTTTCATGTTATATAATATCCACTATTTGTCCCATTGAGTTCACACTAGTTTCTTTGAGAGATTCTCATGACAATCATCACAAATGCAACCAGGAATTAAATCTACTATCCTATTATTCCGTTAGCATGAGTAGGGAACAACATGTTTTGCTTGCTCACATCTGGGATTCTTTATTTGTTTCACATGTTTTATTTCAGAAGTATTTTAACAATGTAGTTCCATGTTGTATTGCATGCAATAATGTTTATCAGAGTACCAAAAAAGCTACTTTCTTTTCACCAGTGCTATTGCTGTCCCATTTATTATCAGTGATACACAATCAACTCTACAAGGCCATGATATTAGTTGGGAACGGTTAATTCCAACTGAGGAACCTTTATGGACATCTGCTGCAGACTTAGGGACGCACTGCAGCCTATGACTTGATCAAGATGAATTACTGTAACCATAATGAGGAGGCTATATTGCTAGTCTTCAAGCAGGCAACCAGGTCACAGACTCTAAAGAATCAATAACATTTTTTTTGTCCCAGTTCAACACTCATTTCACTCTGCTCGTCCTGAAACATTAGCCAGCAGTCTACGGACCAAGTCTAGTGAAATGTCTGCTTGTCAACCATGTCTAGCAATAAGAACGCCTAACCTCAGTTCATACATTAGACTTGCGCAAGTCTCTAAGATATGAATAAATAGTTTAAATGATAATTTCTAAAAAAATAATAAATAATAGACTATATCCATGGGCTCATCATTCAGTACAGCCTTGGAGCAAGGCTATTCAAACATTAACATCAAAATTTACAGAATTTACACCAACGGACAAGAAAATGAAAAAATATAGGACAGTAGGCACAAAACGTTTTGGTACACAAAGACTTTGATAGAAGAACATGACCTCATTGTATTTCTCTCCTGTTCTCTCCATAATTGGCTTCCTAATCATAATCATTATTCATAATCTTTGAACATTAATCCTACCATTTGTAAACAGCGACTGTATATGTAAAACTCAACGCATGTATCAAGCAGTCATCTAACAAACATGATGAGTGGTAAGAACTAGTACTAGTTTACGAAGAATAAAGACAGATTGGCTGACTGACAGAGAATGGTTTTACACCGCTTTAGCAATATTCCAGCAATATCACGGCAAGGGGACACCAGAAATGGGCTTCAAACATTGTACGCATGTGAGGAATCGAATCCAGGTCTTCAGCGTGATGAGTGAATGCTTTAACCATTTATAGGCTACCCCACTGCCCCACAAAGAATAAATAAATTGTTATCTACGAAATAGTGGCCTGTATTTTAGCCAACACCTTCATTTTCTATATTACTGAACATTGGACATATATATCATGAAGAATATATCTCTCAAGAGTCCTCAGTACCACTGAAAGATTTTGGCATCAGCTACAGCATCCGGACGACAGCTAGATTAAAATTTTAAATTCAAAAATGACACTCATCATACTTAGGTTTACTCCCATCGTAACCCTCACAACCCATGTCATATTCCATCTGCATATTCTCAACAATTACACACAGGAAATGCCAAACCTACACTACAAGTAATTTAATTTTGCTTTTCATTCTGCTGATCCTTCTCCAATAATACCATGTATACCTCAAATACTAAAGAGCAAAGATCCATATAAAAAAGGACAAACTTGCATTTGATGAGGAAACTCAAATATCATGCAGTGCTTTCTCTGAAATTTGACAGACTAAAGATAAACTGCTGCCTGGTATAATGAACAAAGTACTGGTCCATCCTGGGTGTCCAGCTATCATATGGCCATAATGGTCAGGCACAGTTTGATTGTGACATTCAGCATGTGTTTAACTTCCTGCGATCAAGGGTCATCTGGCTCATTAATCTGCACAGGTTGTGGTCTGGCTAGAATCTGTCTGACAGATTTAAACAATGGAGGTCTTCCCCTCAGTACAACACTCTGCTGCACTAAGCAAATACCAAGATAAGTATTCCAGAGATCCTGCACAGCTTGTCTGGATACGTTGTGTCTGACTCCATGAAATAACATTGGTTACAACTTTAACCATGATAACACCAAGAATTGGGAAATGTTTAATTTAAGTGTCAGAAGTTTAACTGTTGCTGTACATGTGGGGCCAAATATTATTCTCAATGCAGGTCCTGATCAAACCCTGCAGACTAGCACCTCCACCACACACTGGACATTACGCACAAGATAAGGAAACAAAATATCCAGTAATTATACATCGTAAGACTGACCAAAAAAGTGTAACTTCAATTAAAAAGACATCTTTTAGAGGACCAATCGTGTAGGTGGTCTGCACCTGTAGTTAGCATATGTTATACACCTATGCTGTCTTTGGCTCTAGTTAGCCTCTGTGATAAACTTGTAATTTTTTTGTATGGCGTCGGACTGTAAAAATACCAGCGCCTTGAGCATGCACTAGTTGCCTGGATATGTGCGCTATATAAATATCCTATAATAATAATTGTAGTTACTTTCTGTGATACAAAGGCAATAGGGTAGCCTTGTGGTTAAACTGTTTGCTCGTCACACCAACATCCCAGGTTCAATTTTTCCACATGGGTACAATGTGTGAAGGCCATTTCTGGTGTCACCCAGCACGACAGATGCAAGATGTGCACACAGCATGGTTTTACCTTGACTGACAATAGTGGGGTCCAAGGGCCCCCCATAAATAAGGTTACAGGTCCTTGCTGGAAATATGAGGGGCCTGTAAAGTATTGACATGGTGTAGTGTAGTGTATGGTTAAATAATTACTTCAGAGTCTGGAATGAATCAGTGGACAACGGTCATGACTGAGGGTGAAATTACAGACACAGGTAACTAACGGTGTCCTCCCATTTGTGAGAACTCCCAGTTGTGAGACACATTAATTAACGGTTCAGTGCACATAGGTGGTGTTTCCACATCCCTACAATGAAAGTGGGATCAGCCAAGTTGTTGAAGAGTACCCACAGGAGTCATTGATGAGTAGATTAATGAAATAGATTATCAAAGATTATATTTACACAGAAGAAATAGACTATTATGAAGTTTGAAAGTCATTTTCGTTTAAACATATTTTATTATTATTTATGAAAATGAATTGGGATTGGTGAACAAGCATTACTGCTTATGTTAACACTGCTCCCATGCAACATAAAAAACAAAATGAAATGGAGGATGTGCAGACGTCATCAATATTGACTATTGCATAAATATATTTTTAAGTATTACATCAAATACAACTATTCTCTAAGTAGTCATAATTAGAGAGTTACAGTTGTGTGTGTCTAACAAGCTATTGTAGGAATATAAATCAATCATGAGAAGGTTGTTGAGTTAATTTAAATATTTTCCTGAGAAAATTTGAAGCGTAGTGTCTTGATGATATAATCGTGGACAGATTCAACTCATTTCTGGTTTACGCAAGGAGTAAATTCTTTGTTTCCGTTCAAAATGGTATCCAGGTTATAACGGGTTGTGCCGGGTAAAAAGGATTTGGCATAAGAGGCAGTTCGACTGTAAACTTGTATTTCAGAGTTGTTTCTGAAACTATATCTTGTAGTTTCGGAGAAGGATGTAAATCTGAGTAGGTAAATTAATTTCCCTTTCAAATGATCACGAAGTTACCTACACAAAGTGTATGTTAATCAATTTATCTTATAAAGTTTCATTAAGACTTCCACAAGATTCAGTTACATAGCAAATCAGTAATTGGCTAGGGTTAATCCATTCTATCAGACAGGGGTGTATGGTGTGTTTTCTTTGTTAATTACCTACTCCACTGTCTCATAACTGGGAGTCTCACAATTTGGAGTTCTCACAAATGGGAGTAGACCGTAACTAACTGTTCCTGATGCACTGTAGGTATTTTTGTGCATCTCTTCAGACACAGTATTTTTGTGTTTCTGCGCGCATTCTGAAAAATGAATTTTATTTCAAATAAATACCTTTATATATCGTGAAACTGAATAAATACGTTTCCACACAATGACTTATCTATACAGACAATTAATTAAAGGTCACATGCAACGTAAAACACAACTTTGCAGATTCTGATACCTTTTGGTATGGACTTTCTTAAACAAATCATCAAAAATGCAAATTCAACTTATAAAGTTGAAAAATAACGCGATGAAAAAAACCACGCGAAATGGTAGTTCAAACGATTCACTAACTTTCCCCAAGCGCTTGGGGGAATTGAAGTGGTTTCAACAGCTGGGCTGCGCTCATAGCACATGCGCAGTGAAATAGGTTCGCGGAGCTTGGAAGCGGGTTGTCCGGTGAATACTCGGTGTAGGCTTTGGTGTGTTTTGTTGATATTTCACAGGTGCGAGCTTTTTATATGTTATTACAGTAGATTACCGATTTAACTGTTTATATAATTTCATTTGTCTATTTCACCAACGTTCTTCTTACCGAGTCACTTTCTCAGTTCAATATTTAAAAGCAATGTCATTATTTAGCGTCAACAGAATTTCTAACTGTGACCTAGATATGTCGTCACAGACAAAACTCAATGTCTGTTTTATTGGCACCTATGTGTCTGCCTGCCCGTCTGCTAATGACAATATTCAATACACAATTTCAATCACTGACCACATGCAATTTGAACTTAACACCTATCAGGCTATACACCATAAACAAAACGCATTGATTTATGGCCCGAGTTCGGTCTCTGTCACATTATGTAATTACACAGACAGGCAGGTGTGATACTTGTACACATGACATGTTATGATGTCTGTTGATTGCAAAATGTTATACACAAAAAATGAGCATGTATTTACAAAACCCAACATCTCTATATATATGTCAGGGTAGAGACTGCGATCGGAGTCTCTACTGGTAGAATCTCCGATCTTACTAGTAGAGATTGTAATCGTAGTCTCTGCTGGTTGAATCAGAGATTCTACCAGTACATTTTCCAATTCAGCTGGTAGAAACTACGATCCTACTTGTAGAGGCTGCAATCGTCTTCAACTGGTAGAAACTCCGAGTGATCTGTGGGTAAACAACAAAGACACTTTTTCTGAACAGTACTATGCATTTTATTCAGATATAACACTAGACTGTTCTACACTTATTCATCACACTTCTACAGATATATTAAGGACTAAAAATACAAATGTGACTT